CCATTAACACAATCAATATTCATTTATTAATAACATTCCTTCTTTTTTTTCTTAATCAGTAACATTTCATCTAAATAAGTCCAAATCCTGTATAAAGCTTTACTATTTCAGTTATTATCTTCCATACTGTTACTCTAAATACATAATTAACACTTAGGGTGTCTCCCCATTCCCTTTTTCCATAACATAATCAATAAACATTTGCTTTTTGGATTATGATTTGGTGGAACATTCAAAAGATTTTTAAAAGGAAGATAAAGTTCACCCCTCAATTATTCTTATTGGGTATCATTGTGGATTTAAATGACAAAGAAACTACTTTAATGTTGAATTTATTAACTGCAGCAAGGTTATTAGTAGGCTCGTATTGGAAGAAGGACTCATTGCCTACTTTAGAGGAATGGATATTTAAAGTTTCTAACTTTGCAGAAATGGCAAAAATTTCTGCTTATTTGAAGGATCATACACAAGAAAGATATATTATTGTATGGAGAAGATGGATAGTTTATATTCAGAAAAAATATGGGACTATAAGGTTTCATTTATTTTATGAGTAAATTTTATAGTAACTGTTGTAGAGATTTGTTTATATGAATTAATTTAAGGGGAGTTAAAGGTTAAGTATGATGTTTTTTTTCTCTTTTATTTTCTTTTTTCTTTTTTATTATTGTTAACTTTCTTAATAATAACCCTTTATTCTGCTCTGGGAAGCGAGGGGGGGGAGGGTTGAGGGTGGGTGGGTGGGTGAGTGGGTGGGTAATGATAATATAGACATGGTGAACGCTTAGGCATTCCCCCTATGCTGCGTTCATGTGTGTGAGAGGGATGAGAGGGGAGGAAGGAGTAGGGAGGAAGTAGGATGGTTAGAGGAGAAGAGGAGGGGAAGAGAGTAGGAGGGGAGGAGAGAAAGAGGAGGGAAGTGGCGAAGGATTAGAGAGGGTGGACGCAGCCTGGGGGGAATGGGCAGGCGGTACCAATGGTTAGGAATTTAATTGTATTTTGTATCAATACATGGCAAATAAAAACTTTTTTAATTAAAAATAAACATTTGTTAATATCATATCTTCTTTACTTATGACCAGTTCTTGAAGTTACGGCCACAGCAGTGCCCCTGGGGTCATTCGCCCTTATCACCAACTGCAAGAATTCTGCAGTGTCCATCCAGCCACTGCAAATCTCAGATTAGGGAAGGAGTACCGATCACTGTGTCGCTGGGTCCCATGGCATGATCCTAGAAATAGCTTCCATTTTCTGAGCAGCTGCATTGAAATGTGAGCTGCAGTTTTCTGGACTGGTGAAGCTTCGGAGTGGTCTTCAAGGGTAGCCCCATGTGAAGCACATTGCAGTAGTCCAGACCGGAACGAAGTTGAGGCTCCTTTTCACGTAATTTAAGCAACTGAAGGCAAATCCGTTGCATTGTGGCAACCGTGGCAACCTTTGAGCCCTAGATCCAAAAGCATTACAGCTGGTTCTCAACTTACAACGATTCATTTAGTGACCTTTCAAACTTACAACGGCACCGAAAGAAGTAACCTATGACCGTTTTTCACACGACCGTCACTGCATGCGCATGGTCCCAGGATCAGAATTCGGATGCTTGGCAACTAACTCTCATTTATGACGGTTGCAGTGTCCCGGGATCATGTGATCCGCTTTTGTGACCTTCTGGCCAGCAATCTCAAGGGGGAAGCCAGATTCACTTAACAACCGTATTCCTAACTTAACAACTGCAGTGACTCCCTTAACAACGGTGGCAAGAAAAGTCGTAAAATGGGGCAAAACTCACTTAACCGCTGTCTCGCTTAACTACAGAAATTTTGGGCTCCATTATAATAATAATAGTAGTAAAGTTGGAAGGGACCTTGGAGGTCATCTATTCCAACCCCCTGCTCGGGCAGGAAACCCTACACCATTTCGGACAAATGGCTGTCCAGTCTCTTCTTAAAAACTTCCAGTGTTGGAGCATTTACTGCTTCTGGAGGCAAGCTGTTCCACTGATTAATTGGTCATAAGTTGATGACTGCCTATAAATTCTTAAGGAGACACCCATCTTCCAATCCCTTTCGCTTTTAGAGCCGCATAAGATTTGTCCTGTTGTCGTGAATGCCACTGACACATTTATCCAATCAATGGTGCAGAGGAACCCATTGGAACGAAAGGAAGAACTTCTCAATTAACCCGGAGGTTAAGCTTAATAGTGTTAATAATAACCAGCACTGAGTTATTCTTAAGGCGGATGCTATATACAGATTTGCTCGTACATGACCGTTCTGGTGCTACTGAGTTAAAAAAAGGAAAGAAAACTATTCATTTTTTGGGGGGGGGGCTGGATATATATTTTTTAATTGGAAAGAATTTGAGGAATGGGGGAGATGAAAAATATAGGAAGCTTCTCAATCAAATTTGTGCAATGTGTAGATATAATACATTTGAGAAACACAATAAACTAAACTAAATGATACGGTTGGATCCACTATCAAATTCTCCCCAGACATGTGCCCTCCGTAAGGATATGTGAGAATGACCTTGGGAGGCAGGTGAACCTACTACAGTTAGTCCTGGATTTAGTTCAACAACTTTTATGTGTCTAATGCAGAGGGCTTCAAACCTGGCCCTTTTATGACCTGTGGACTTCAACTCCCAGAATTCCTCAGCCAGCTTGCCTGGCCCTTTTATGACTTGTGGCCTTCAACTCCCAGAATTCCTCAGCCAGCTTGCCTGGCCCTTTTATGACTTGTGGCCTTCAACTCCCAGAATTCCTCAGCCAGCTTGCCTGGCCCTTTTATGACTTGTGGCCTTCAACACTCAGAATTCCTCATCCAGCTTGCCTGGCCCTTTTATGACTTGTGGACTTCAACACCCAGAATTCCTCAGCCAGCTTGCCTGGCCCTTTTATGACTTGTGGCCTTCAACACCCAGAATTCCTCATCCAGCTTGCCTGGCCCTTTTATGACTTGTGGACTTCAACACCCAGAATTCCTCATCCTGCTTGCCTGGCTGAGGAATTCTAGGAGTTGAAATCCACAAGTCATAAAAGGGCCAAGTTTGAAGACCCCTGGTCTCATGCAAGCAGAGTTTTGATGACATCATCGTGTTCACCATCTTGAAATTTTGGACCGTATCCTGCAGAAACTCCCACAATTCATGAATATTTCTGACCCCGATGATGCCCCACCCCTTCAGGGTGGAATGGGGTCTTCACAGGGAAAGAGGTGTCCAATAGCTACAATTCAGCCTAGAAGATGGCTACATAAGCATTGTTATAATGGTTGTTAGGGATGGTGCCATCTTTAAGTCCTGGATAATCAAAGGCTGATCGAAAAAGGGAACCATGGTCCTGGTGCAGAGATGTACTGCATCTTTTTTTTTTTTTTTAAGAAAAAAGTTTTTAAGAAAAAAGTCCATTATAGCTGTGTGTATGTGGCTTATTTAAACATGTTAAGTGAAAAACTATGGTTGTATTTGAACAGTGTATACTTAGTGAGTGTTACCCTAGATCAGGGGTAGACAACCTTGGCTCTTTTATGACTCGTGGACTTCAGCTTCCAGAATTCCTGAGCCAGCATGGCTCAGCTTGGAAACCTCCCTTTCCCCTCAGCATGGCTGGCTCGGGAATTCTGGGAGTTGAAGTCCACGAGTCATAAAAGAGCCAAGGTTGCCTACCCCTGCCCTAGGGCCTAGATCAGTGTTTCTGAAGTTGGCCTTGTGAAGATGTTTGGACTTCAACTCCCAGAATTCCCCAGCCAACGTGGCTAGTTGGGGAATTCTGGGAGTTGAAGTCCACACTTCTTCAAGTGGCCAGGATTGAGAAACACTGCCCTAAATTAATGGGAAGCAAGGATCCATTCAATTTTTTCATTAGCATACTTTCAGAGTAACTGTGTAAACCCAGAACACAGTAATCAGGTAAAGTGTTATGTGAATGCAGCCGCTGGAATGGGGTCAAGGTTTCAAAAAAGATACACATAAATATTATATTCCGGTGAGCTTTACTCCTGGATGCATCCCTCATTGGTTTATTGCCCAAACTATGAAAGGGTTTGATTTGTCATTGCCCTGGGCTTACCTCTTGGTCTCTCATCCAGATATTCACCAGCATTAACTCTGCTTAGCTAAGGTTGCATAAATCCTGCCAGGTTTTGTAGTGTGTAACAAATCGGAGAGGGGAAAGTGTACCCCTTTCACACCTCCCCTCCAGTGCAGTTTTCCGAACATCCTACCTCAGTCACAGGAATGTGGGACCCCAAATCCCATCACTCTCACCCTCCCAGTTGGGGATGATGGGAGTTGCAGTTGCTCTTCCCCACAGGGAGAAAACTGCTTTGGCAAAGCCTGCCATGATCTCTCGCTTCTCTCTTCTCTCTCTCCCTTCTCCTTCTCTCCTTCTGCTCTCCTTCTCCTCCTCCTTTCTCCTCTTCCTCTCCTCCTTCTTCTTCCCTTTTTCTTCTCCTTCTCCTTCTCTTTTTACTCTCCTTCTCTATTTCCTCTCCTTCTCCTTCTTCCCTCTTTCCTTTTCCTCCTCTTCCTCTGCTTCTCCTTTTTGTCCTTCTTCTTCTTCTTCTTCTTCTTCTTCTTCTTCTTCTTCTTCTTCTTCTTCTTCTTCTTCTTCTTCTTCTTCTTCTTCTTCTTCTTCTTCTTCTTCTTCTTCTTCTTCTTCTTCTTCTGTTTTTCCTCTTTCTTCTTCTCCCACCCTTTCCTTCTCCTTCTCTTCTGCTTTTTTGTCCCCCTCTTCTTCTCCTCTTCTCCTCCTCCTTTTCTTTCTCCTCCTCTCCTTCTTCTCTTTCTCCTCCTCCTCCTCCTCCTCCTCCTCCTCATCCTCCTCCTCCTCCTCTTCTTCTCCTCTACTTCCCCTTCTTCTCTTTCATCTCCTCCGACTCCTCCGTCTCCGTCTCCTTCCCTCTTCCTCCCTCCCCCGGGCTTCTTCCTCCGCTCCCTCTCCCGGCAGAGGGTCGGTCCCGCCAGGCGAGATGCGCAGCTAGACCCTCCCGCCCCCACTCACACACACACTCCCGCCCTGTCCCGCTCCTCGCCCGCAGCTCCGGCCCGGCTTTTCGCTTCGCCCGGACGCACTTCCGAGACCCCGGCGGAGAGAGCGAGAGCCGCAGAAACCCCCCGAAGCGCCTGGCGGCTCCCCACAGCTCTGCGCCGCCGCCGAGCCCCGCCGTTCCTCTTTGGCTGGGCGGTCGGAGCCCTCCGAAGTCCCCGCCGGGCGCGCCCCTCCGCCCTCCCGCCCTCCGGAGCGGCGCAAGCAGGCGATCCCGGCGTCGGGCTGTCGGTCGGTGGGTCGGTGGGTCGGGCAGGCGAGGATGCTCCGGGATCGCGGCAAGAAGAGGGCGCGGCGAGCCACGCCGGCGCTCCGGGACCTGCTGCGTTGACGCGGGCCGGGAGGCATGGCTCGGCGTCGGGGGCGCTCCCCGATGGGATTCCTCGCGAGTCAGGAGCCGCTGCTTTTACTGCTCTGCGCAAACTTCTTTCCCGGTAAGAAGGGGCGGCGTGGAAGGTGTGTGTGTGTGTGTGGGGAAATCTCCCTCTCCTGGTTCTTCTTCTCACCCCCCCCGCCCCCGTGTCCTAACATTCGTGTTGGGAGCGTTCACACAACCCGCGCGGCGCGCCGGCCGAGGGGTGGGGCGGCGGCTTGGAACAAAACTGAGTCCCGCGGGATGGACGTTTTTTTTAAAATCAAGGTTAAAACGTCCAAGCTTCGCACGTTGTGTGACTCGCTAGAGGTGTTAGAAGTGACCCCGGGGCAAGCGCGTCGTGTGAACGTAAAATGACAAAACCGGTTAAAAATGGTGTCTGGCGCTGTCCAAGGTCCCCGGGCACTAAAAAAGGCGCTTTGCTACTTATTTCTCTCCTCCTTCCCCATCCAGCCTCCCCCATCCCTGTTGCTCTTCGCAATGGGGATCATAACGACAGCCCTGCGAGGTGGGCTGGCTGGAGACAGAGAGAAGACTGAGCCAAGGTCACCCCAGCTGCTCATCAAGAAACCAGAACTAGGTTCTCTCCTGTTCATGATGCGTCTCACCTCATGCGTGCAGGGCTTTTCCTGAAGGAAAACAGTGTTCCCTGCAAGGGGAGGGGGGGGGAATTCCCATTTTTATCCTTAAGAGGAAGATCCGGAGATCCAGTGGCTCAGCCAAGGACATCCTGTAGCTCCGTATCCTAGCAAGGCATTTAGGAGGGATGGTTCTGTGCCATTCACACCTGGCAGCCCTGTTTCGTCTGGCATAACCAGAAGGACTTTCCATGAATTTAAGACCAAATAAATAAAAATTACCCCCCTCTTGAATAATGATAAACTGGGAACCATCTCCGCTGTATTCATAACCATCGCATTAAAAAAAAAAATGAGGTGGCTTTTTGCAGACAGTGTGCTAAACAATGATTCACCCTAACCCTGATTTCTGGTGCTTCCCCCCTGTGGCTTAGCTTGCGGTGCAGCTGTTTTGGCCAGCTGAACTAGGATTCGGAGGAGGGTGCACACTCGGACTATGGGTGAGGGTTCGGTGTGTTGTGTGAATGTGGCACATTGACTTTTAGCCAGAGATCCGGTTCTATAGTAGACCAGCCTAGAATCAACCAGAGGGTTTTTTTTGGGGGGGGGGGGTATTGATTCTAGGTTTCCCACCCTGCAAGGCAATTTATAGTAGCATCCTTTGGCATTTGAGGTGGAGGCCACGGAGGTGAAATGAATTCCCATCAATAGCTCTGATTCATTGTAATTTCAAGTACACACCGAGGAAGAAGGGGTGAGACAGTGAGTTGGAGAGCAATTTAAAATGTACTCATTAGTTTACGAGTATTACTCATGGGATTCTTCGGACAATTAGTAAGTTTGCCATAGTTATCAATCTTCGCTTAGGAAAGCTTAGAGATGTTCAGATTCACTAGGTGGGTTAGGCTGCATCAATCTTTGCTCAATAATAATAATAATAATAATAATAATAATAATAACAACAACAACAACAACAACAACAACAATAATAATAGAGTTGGAAGGGACCTTGGAGGTCTTCTAGTCCAACCCTCTACTCAGGCATGTCAAACACAAGGCCCGGGGGCCGGATGCGGCCCGTGAAGTAGTTTCATGTGTCCTGCGAAGCCATCCTGGAAACAGTGAGGGAACGGCCCCCGCTGCCTTGGCCCTGGCCCAGGCCGGACAGAAGCCAATGTACAATTTTGTGGTGGCCATCAGTGCTGAAATGCATTCAGTCTTAGCTCCACAAGGCCGTCTGGAAACAGCGAGGAGCCAGCCCCTGCCGCGTTGGCCCTGTCCCCTGGGTGCATGCTGGGGAGGGGTCACCCTTTGTGAGGAATGAAGAAATGGACCATGCCTTGGTGCTTGTCCCGGTCCCACCCCCTTCTGCCAGAGACCCTCAGATCTGTCCCACTCCTGCCCAGGCCCCCACAGGCACCCTTGACGCGAATGATGTAGAGCTGGCCATGCTCACCCAGTAGGCCACACCCACTCCATCCACACTTACCCAGTAGGCCGCACCCCTCCCCCAGCCTCCCCCCCCCGAGGGCAACTGCAATGCTGATGCAGCCTTCAATGAAATTGAGTTTGACACCCCTGCTCTATACCATTTCAGACAAATGGCTGTCCAGTCTCTTCTTAAAAACTTCCAGTGTTGGAGCATTCACCACTTCTGGAGGCAGATTGTTCCACTGGTTAATTGTTCTTTCGAGAAGTTTCTCCTTAGTTCTAAGTTGCTTCTTTCTTTGGTTAGTTTCCATCCGTTGCTTCTTGTCCTGCCTTCAGGTGCTTTGGAGAAAAGCTGGACTCCCTCTTCTTTGGGGTAGCCCCTGAGATATTGGAACACTACTATCACGTCATCCTTCATCCTTCTCCTCATTAAACAGCCAGCAGTGGTTGGCAAAAATCTCCTGCAACAGAGGATGGCCATGGTCAGGTAATTAAAAAACTTTACTCCTGTAAAGTTCACTTAGTGTAGGTCAGGGGTAGGCAACCTTGGCTCTTTTACGATTCGTGGACTTCAATTCCCAGAATTCCTGAGCCAGCATGGCTCAGCTTGGAAACCTCTCCCTTTCCTCTCAGCGCAGCTGGCTCAGGAATTCTGGGAGTTGAAGTCCACGAGTCATAAAGTGGCCTAGGCTAGGCCAGAGGTAGGCAACCTCAGCTCTTTTATGACTCGTGGACTTCAACTCCCAGAATTCGTGAGCCAGCCATGCTGAGGGAAAAGGGAGAAGTTTCCATGCTGAGCCATGCTGGCTCAGGAATTCTGGGAGTTGAAGTCCACGAGTCATAAAAGAGCCAAGGTTGCCTACCCCTGGTGTAGGGGGAATGACCTTGAAGGGGAGGGTCTCTTACCAAGGCAACAGACAGACCAGAGGGGCCTCAACCCCAGCCAAGGAAGTAATTTGGCAAAGTGTCTCAGATTAAGCCCCTCCCTGGTTCACAGGGAGATAAAGGACGGGAGGAGGGATACACATTCAAACTTAGGAGTTTCTGTTACTATCACTTTACAATAAAACTACAGATAGTCCTTGGCCATTTGTTTAGTGACCGTTGGAAGTTACTAGGGCGTTGGAAAAAGTGACTTATTAGCATTTTTCACACTTATGACCCATGCAGCCTCCCCATGGTCAGGTAATTAAAATTTGGATGCTTGGCAACTGGTTCCTATTTACGGCTCTTTCAGTGTCCCAGGGTCATGACCTTCAGACCAGCCAAATCAGTGGGGAAGCCAGATCCATTTTACAGGTGTGTGACTAACAACTGCAGTGATTCACCTAATAATTGTGTCAAGCAAGGTCGCAAAATGAGGCAAAATTCACTTAACAGCTATCTCTCTTAGCAATGGAAATTTTGGGCTCCATTGTGGTCGTAAGCTGAGGACTACCTGACTTTTTTTTTTAAGTCTGTTTTGTTGGGTGGATGCTGATCTCCCCCCTCAAAAACTACAGAGCAGCTGAGGAAAACCTCCTACCCCAGAGCATGTGCAGAATTCATTTGGGGTTGAGAAGCAAGCCACTTCCCTTTCAGACCTAAAGGTATCCCACAGGCAAAGAGCATATTAAGAGTGCAGGGTTTATTCTTAATCTGTGACCCAAACCAGTGGAACCAGTGGAACAGCCTGCCTCCAGACGCGGTGAATGCTCCAACACTGGAAGTTTTTAAGAAGAGACTGGACAGCCATTTGTCCGAAATGGTATAGGGTTTCCTGCCTGAGCAGGGGGTTGGACTAGATGACCTCCAAGATCCCTTCCAACTTTATTGTTGTTGTTGTTGTTATTATTATTATTATTATTATGACCCAGATTGTTGGGGGCAATGTAAAATATATATATATACATTGCTTACTGGTGTACACTGCTTAGAGAGTGCTTGCACTTAAAGCAGTATATAAGTCTCATAAATAAATAAATAAATAATAATAATAATAATTATTATTATTATGGATGGATCATCGCACAGTCAGCCAGATGTTCAGACTGGATTTGGCATTTTGTCTACCTATCGAGTCCTTACCCAGGACCTGGGATAGGCAGATGTGGATGTTTGATGGTATTACAGGTATCGTCGCAGGATGGAAGCAGTTCCTAGTAAGGCTGCCTTTTGCAATTGACTAATAGCGAATTTGTCAATGCCAATGGTGTTCAAGTGGTGCTCCAGTTGTTTTGGGATTGCACCCAAGGAGCCTATGACTATTGGTACTACCCTTGCTTGCTTTGCCACAGTCTTTCTATTTCTATTTGTAGGTCTTTGTATTTTGTTATCTTCTCCAGTTCTTTCTCTTCTATTCTGCTATCTCCAGGCACTGCCACGTCCACTATCCAGACTTTTTTGTCTTTCTTATCGACAATTGTTAAGTCTGGGGTGTTATCTTGCAGGTGCTTGTCTGTTTGAATTCTGAAGTCCCAGAGCAGTTCAGTTTTATCATTTTCTATGACTTTCTCTATTTTATGATCCCACCAGTTTTTGCTTACAGGCAAATGATATTTTTCTGATTCTGGATTATTATTATTATTATGGATTATTATTATTATCATTATCATTATCATTAAACTTGGCTAACCCTGAATAACATCCATTGTTCCCATCTTCCCAGGCAAACATGTCCTGTGAATGCAGACTGAGATGCTTCTCTTTGGTTGCAAACCTATCAGAAGGGAAGATTTGAACGCCCTCTTTTTTTTCCCTTTTTTTATTTTTCCGATTTCCCTTAACAGGGTTTATCCCTATTGTACGAACGCATCCGTGAGCACCAACTGGCAGTCAAAAGGCATGATGAAAATTCTCTAATTTCACAACATACGGACAGATTTAACCACACTTTCAATTGGGAAAATGTGACCATCCTAGACCAGGCCACATCCCAAAATGCCAGGGAGTTTCTAGAAGCCTGGCACGCTGACAAATCAGCCATCAACAGACACATAGACGTTAACAACATCTACAGACAGGAGAAAAAGACTTTAGCCACTCTCCACCAGCAATCAGCACTCAGACTAGC